ATCTTTGCTTGATGGCAAATGATATTGTGAGGTAAGTGATTCCGACTGTTCTTCAAATGATGATAATGACTATGATGCTTTGCATAATGCATATCAAGAATTATTTGCTGCTTTTAAAGATTTGGAAACTGAATATAAATCTTTGAAAAAGAATTTGAATAAATTGGAAAAAGAAGTAGAATCTTTAAAATAAAAAATAGTGAATTTAGAAGAAAAAGGAAATAAGCAAATAAAATATGCATCATGTAAAGAATATGAACATGAAAGTGACATACTTAGAAAATTACTTGATAAAGCTAAGAAAGAACTAAGTAACAACAGTAAGAATGAAGTCATTGTGCAATCTCAATTAAGAAGTCATGTTCCATTTAAAGAGCCTAAAAATAGAACCCAAAGCGTATGGATTGAAAAAAGGATCTAAATCTTCTCAAAATAAAGTTGTATCTTTTTCAAGAATTAAATCTAATGCATGCTTCTATTGTATGAAACATGGACATACATCTAACAGGTGTAAAATTAAGAATTTTGGTGTTCCAAAGGGAAAATATGTTTGGGTTCCTATAGTTAAATGATTTGATTGCCTCTAACCCCAAGGACCCAAAATTTATGGGGACCTAAGATTATTATGTTTTTGTTTTGTAGGAAACTTCCAAATCCAAGAAATCTATGTGGTATCTTGTCAGTGGGTGTTCAAGACATATGACTGGAGATAAAAAGAAATTTGTGAGTTTTAAAGCAAAGGAACAAGGATATGTAACCTATGGGGACAACAATAAAAGAAGAATATTTGGAACCGGAAATATTGGTGGTGCAAATACTTTGGAGATAAAGGATATGCTCTTTGTTGATGGGCTAAAGCACAATCTCCTAAGTATAAGTCAACTTTGTGATAAAGGATTTAAGGTAATCTTTGAAAGTAAGTTTTGCACTATTCATTTAAAGGATTATGAAAATATAGCATTAAAAGGTATTAGGCATAACAATATTTATTTAATTGATTTGGATTATGTATCTAATACGAATATAACATGCTTAGTTGCTAAGGAAGAAAATCCATGGTTATGGCATTAGAGAGCGACTCATAAAAACATGCATCAATTAAACAAACTAATATCAAATGACTTAGTTGTTGGTTTGCCTAAGCTAAAATTTGAAAAAGATAAGTTATGTGATGCATGTCAAAAAGGTAAACAAGTAAAATCATCTTTTAAATCTAAGAATGTTATTTCCACATCAAAACCTTTAGAACTTTTTCACTTAGATTTATTTGGTCCATCTAGGATAAAAAGTTTTGGTGGAAATTACTATGCTCTTGTAATTGTTGATGACTTCTCTAGATTTACTTGGACATTTTCTTAACATTGAAAAGTGAGGCTTTTAAAGCTTTTAGAAAGTTTGCTAAGCAAATTCAAAATGAGAAAGACTTAAGAATTAAAGTGTTAAGGAGTGACCATGGTGGGGAATTCCAAAATGAATCCTTTGAAAATTATTGTGAAGAAAATGAAATTTTGCATAATTTTTCTGCTCCTATAACTTCCCAACAAAATGGTGTAGTAGAAAGGAGAAATAGGTCACTAGAGGATCTTGCTAGAATAATGTTAAATGAATCAAATGTTCCTAAATATTTTTGGGTTGATGTTGTAAGTACTACATGTTATGTATTGAATAGGATGATCATTAGGCCAATCATAAAATTAACTCCTTATGAATTGTTAAATGGAAGGAGGCCTAATGTTTCCCATTTAAAAATATTTGGTTGTAAATGCTTTGTTTTAAATAATGGAAAAGATAACTTAGGAGAATTTGACTCAAAAGCCAATGAGACCATCTTCTTAGGTTATTCACTTCCTAGCAAAGCATATAGAGTATTCAATACAAGAACCTTGAATATTGAAGAATTTGTACATGTTACTTTTGATGAAATTGTAGACCTTGAGGGAAATCCTCTTGAGTCATATAAAGAATATGCAGGTGATGATGAGTACATAAGAGAAGCTCTAGAAGAAATGTACTTAAATGAGAATGAGCCATCTCAACCAACTGAATTGACAAAAGAGTGACAATCACCGAAAGGACTTTCAATGGACAATATAATTGGTCATATTTCAAAAGGGGTAAGAACTAGAAATATGACAATTTTCTGTATGTCTATAGCTTTTGTTTGACAGATTGAACCCAAAAGTGTTGAGGAAGCTCTCAAAGATGACCAATGGTGCATTGCAATGCAAGAAGAACTAAATCAATTTGAAAGAAACCAAGTCTGTGAATTAATTCCAAGAGAAGAATCTCATCAAGTTATTGGAACGAAATGGGTATTTAGAAACAAACTTGATGAAGATGGAAATATAACAAAGAACAAAGCCAAACTTGTTGCCAAAGGATACTGTCAAGAGGAAGGTATTGATTATGATGAAACCTATGCTCCTATTGCCAGGTTAGAGGCTATACGCCTACTTCTTGCTTATGCTTCATTGATGAAATTTAAACTATATCAAATGGATGTTAAAAGTGCATTTTTAAATGTGTTTATCAAAGAGGAAGTATATGTGGAACAACCCCCTAGATTTGAAGATTTTAAATATCCTGATCATATTTTTACATTAAAGAAAGCTTTATATGGTTTGAAACAAGCTCCTAGATCTTGGTATGAAAGATTAAGTTCTTTTCTAATTTCAAATGGTTTTTCTAGAGGACAAATTGATTCTACTTTATTTATTAAGAAAGTAAAAGAACATATTTGGTTAGTTCAAGTATATGTTGATGATATTATCTTTGGATCAACTGATAATTCCTTATGTGAAGGATTTGCTAAGATAATGCAGGGTGAATTTGAAATGTTAATAATGGGAGAATTAACATTCTTTCTTAGACTTCAAATTAAGCAACTTAAAGATGGAACTTTTGTGTCACAAACCAAATACTGCAAAGAGATTCTCAAGAAATTTAAAATGGACTCTGCAAAAGCTGCACACACTCCAATGGTAATGTCTTACTATCTAGATAAGGACGAATCAGGTTTGGAAATAAATCAATCTATGTATAGATGTATGATAGGTTCACTATTTAACTACAAGTAGACCTGATATCATGTAATATGTATGTGTGTGTGCTAGATTTCAAGCTTGTCTAAAAGAATCTCATCTACCTGCAGTAAAAATAATATTGAAATATTTAAAAGGAACTACAAGATTTGGTTTATGGTACCCATTTGAAGTTTCTCCTAGTTTATTAGGTTATTCTGATGCTGATTATGGAGGCTGTAAAGTAGATAGAAAAAGCACTAGTGGTACTTGTCATTTATTAGGATCATCCTTAGTATTTTGGCATTCTAAGAAACAAGTTTGTGTTGCTTTATCCATAACTGAGGCTGAATATATTGCAGTTGGTAATTATTGTGCTCAAATTCTATGGATGAAGCAACAACTAGAAGATTATAGTATTTTTCTAAGTAACATTCCTTTAATGTGTGATAATACAAGTGCAATTAATCTCACAAAGAATGTTGTTATGCATTCTAGAACCAAACACATTAAGATTAGGTATCACTTTTTAAGAGATCACATTTCTTAAGGAAATTGTAAGATTGATTATATAGAAACAAAACATCAGTTAGCAGACATATTTACCAAACCTCTTCCGAAGGATAGATTCTATGAATTTAGAAGAGACTTAGGAATACTAGAAGTAGTCTAAACTCTGCTTAACTATAAAATCTTTGCATTTTGTACTGGAATAATCGATTATCTTGAGTAATAATCGATTATTGAGGCTTAAATGAGTGGTTCATGAAAAATCTTTCTGTAATAATCAATTATTTGGGGTAATAATCGATTATCTGTACTTCATTGACCCAAATCAGAAATTTCTCTCTGGAATAATCGATTATCTTGAGTGATAATCGATTATCCATGCATTTTCTGGGCAGCGATGAAGAAATAATCGATTATCACTGGTGATAATCGATTATTTGGCGACGTTGGAGATAATCTAGCCATTTGTAACGACTCTTTTTACTTTAATTCTCGTCAAACTAGCCGTTTATGGTCGTTGGGATCATTTTCTATATATAGGAGGGCTCAAAATCAAATCAAAACACTTCCAAACTTCTCTTCAAGAGTTTTTGCATATATTTTACATCTTATTGTCTTCCTCAAAGCTTTGCTTCTCTTCAAAACTCCTTATCTTCCACTTTTCTCTCATTTCATTCCAAATGGCTTCATCTTCCCAAAGAAAAAATCCAACAAGGAGAAGATCCGCTCCTGCTTCTCATCCCCGCCCTAATTCTCTTGAAGAGTGGATTTATGATGATGATGGAAGATAGGAATTTCTGAATTTTTGGAAAGAAAGGGGTATTATTACTCCTAAATTTCTTATTGGAGAGCAATTCATAAACAGAGGATTCCAATTTCCCAATCTTCTTGAGCAACAAGGTGTTCTTTCTTTTATCAAGATGCAAGGTACATACTATCCGGATTTAGTCTGAGTTTTCTATTCTCGTTTCAAATATCAAGATCATATTGCTACTTCCAGAGTCAAGGGTGTAACCATCATCCTTGATGATGATATTTGGGAAAACGTTTCTCATTTTCCTATAAGAGATGATGTTGTAAATATGCTTGTTGATTTAGAGGATTTTAATCACATTCTAGCATATCGTTTCTTTTTTTTCAATCCTACCATGGAAATTGGCAGACAACTTTTGGTCGGTCCTTTGATGAAAGAAGAACGCATGTTACTGCATCTTCTTATATGGATTCTATGTCCATCTGCTAACCTTCGCCAACCATGCACAATGCTCTTCTGCTAACCTTCGCATCATCCATGCTATCATGAACAACAAGCCAATTGATTGGCCCAGCCTTGTCACCTTGACAATGCTCAAGGCGAAGCGTCATCCGACCTTCAAGATTCCTTACGCTCTTCTCATCTCCAGGATTCTTGAATACAAAGGTGTAAATGTTGAAGGGGAACAACAGGCCTAGACATTAAATTCTAATAGAATGCTTGACAACACGCTTACTCAGCTGCCGATGGTGAATGTAAATAGAGTTTACATTCATAAAGATGATGCTCCTCACATGGCTGATGGTGCTCAAGATTTTGATGATGAGGACATGCTTGCTATTGATGTTCCTGCTACTGGAACATCTTCTGCTTCTCACTCTTCATCCCATCCTTCCATGGAAGACATGTTGTTTGATATTGTCGCCGCCGTCTAAAAAGAGAAGGCGGTCGGAGCGACGCGATGGTTTCAACCCTTTTGATTTTCGCGTTTTTTTATGGGTGGTTACAACGCCGTTAGGTTGTCCGATAACCGGGCTAACCTAGGGGCGAGGTTTTCGAAAGGGCGTCCTTGGGTTGTCCGATAATCGGGCTAACCCAAGGACTAATTTTGTAGGGTTCTGTGGAGTCGCCACCGATGTTTTTACCGGAAACATCGGAAAAGGGGTTTTAAAAGGCGTTGGTTTTCGAAAACCAACTTTGGTCATTAGAATCAGAGTTGGGTAAGGGAGTTAGTTACGTGTAAAGGAAGTATTAGTTCCTTTACTACGCCCCTTTCAGGTTCCCTATGATAGGCCAACTATTTTGTTAATAAATAAACCAGAAAAACACGCTTTTGCCCTTTTTATTTTGCGGAATTTAAAATTATGACTACATGGCCCTAATCTATTGCATAATTTAAAATTAAAGTAGTAAAAGTAGAGAGGGAGAATTTAAACCTCCGAAGCAAGCTTTCTTTTTATTTCTTTTAAAAAAAGAGGGTGCTTTTTGGCAGCCCTTCACTCTACATGACGCTGGAAACTCTTTTAGACGCCGAAAAACGCTCACAAAGGCACTCAGAAGCTCCAAAAATGCGTCGGAGGGATTCTAGAGAGAAGTTTTAGAGAGAATGTTAGAAAAGTAGTTTTAAATCAAGAGGAGGGGGTGAATTGATTTTTGAAAGTTTTTCGCAATACACAGATTATCTAATTCGAAAATTAAGATTACTTATCAATTCACAAATCACAAAGCAATCAAACAGTTTAAGTGCAGCAGCAGAAATTAAAGAGAGAAAGGTTAGGAAAGATTTCACCGGTAATTTTATACTGGTTCACCCAATACCAGGGCTACGTCCGGACTCCAGCCAAATTCCAGCTGGGTTCCACTAGAATAGATGTTTTACAGACTCACCCTCTTACACCTATTCTAACTCTCCACCAAGAACCAAATTCCAGCTCTTGGAAACCTCTGCAACCAAATTCCAGCCACAGAGAACCCAAGTGCCCAAATTCCGGGCACCACACACAAGAACCAAATTCCAGCTCTTGCTTTAACCTTTCCACCAAGAACCAAATTCCAGTTCTTGGCAACTTTCTACAACAACTGTAGAAAACTTGTACCCAAATTCCAGGTACAAAACAAGTACAAATGAATGAATAGAAATTTAAAAGAAGAAACAAAGAAAGCTCAAACCGGATTACACCAATCCACAGTCAGTTTCTTCTTCAAAGAAATGCAAAGTGCCTCAAGAAAGATTTCAAAAGAAGTTCACAAAAACAGTTGTGTATCTTTCTTGAAAAATGCTAATAGTTGCTTGTATTGATTGCTTGAATTGTGTCAAAACTGATATGATAAAAGTTCCAAGCAATTCTGTTTATAAAAGAGTATTTTCAAATCTGCTGCATTAATTAATCTGTTGAAAGTTTGTTTTAATCTGTTGAAATAGCCGTTACAATCTGTTAAAAGTCCTTTCAACCCATTAATGCGTTCTTGATCTTTAACAGAAAATGTTTTAGTTGATACGACCACGTTTTTATCAGCACTAGTGCAGAATATGGCTTTTACGTCACCCAATTGTCGTCGCATGCACGTATATTCGACGTAAATAAAACGCGGTGGCAATTTTGTAAATATGGGACAAAAAATTTACGTCGCACACCCCAATAGGAGACGTAAAAAGTCATCTTTTACGTCGCACCTGGGAGGCGCGACGTAAAAGATGGCCTTTTACGTCGCGTACAGGGGGACGCGACGTAAAAAGCCTTAGCTTTTACGTCGCGCCCCGTACGCGACGTAAAAGGCCATCTTTTACGTCGCGCCTCCCGTGTGTGACGTAAAGATGACTTTTACGTCGCTTACTACACTGCGCGACGTAAAAAGTCTATTTTATTTCCCTCCCGACCCACTTCCTCGTCTCGCGCAACCGGGGTTTTTGAGAACGACGACGAGAACAACGACAACAGCCTACCTCCGCACACCATTTGCGAGCAGTTTTACGATGAAAAACATCTACATTGTCGTGTCATTTGACGAACTTCATCTTTCTCCCCGATTGGATTCGAGTTTGAAATCGGTTTTCGTCTACACTCGAGGTTAGTGTTCATTGTCATTGCTATATGTTTACATTGAATCCGTGATTGTTTTTGGGGATCTCAATCACGTTATAGTATGAATGTCTCCACTGGATTGTTATTGGAATGCAGTTATTTGTTTATTTGTTTGAGTGCATTCGGTTTACACACTCCATTGTTGTTGGAACGTGCTTTGTTGTTTGTATATTAATTTTTTTTTACATATAATTTTTAAATCTTTAGGAGTGACGAAACTTTATAACATAATATGAATCGAAGTTGGATGAATGCACGTCGTATTAGTGAAGAGTACGAAAAGGGAGTTGAGGAATTTCTGAAATTTGCTAGTGAAAATGGAAAAGCTATGAAAGGGACATATTATTGTCCATGTGTTCGTTGTTTGAATCAAATTCGTCATAAACTTGAGGATATACGTGATCACTTGTTTGTTTATGGTATTATTAAGAGTTATACAATATGGACATGGCATGGAGAAATATTAGACATCCCAACCGTGTCAACTACGGACAATTTTGATGAAGGGATGGATGATAATCTAGAGGATATGATACGTGATATTGGTGAAGAACATTTTATGAAAGCACATCTATATGATTCTTTGAAATCTGATTTTGCGCAACAATTGTACATAGGATGTAGTTTTACAAGATTATCAGCAACTTTAAAATTGTTTACTTTAAAAGCAAGAAATGGATGGACTCGATAAAAGTTTCACCGAATTATTGGAGTTGTTGAAGGAGATGCTTCCTGAAGATAATACATTACCTATTCGTAACTATGAGGCAAAGAAGATATTATGTCCAATGGGTTTAGAGTACAAGAAAATACATGCATGTCCTAATGATTGTATATTGTACAGAAATGATTTTGCTAAATTAAAGATGTGTCCGACATGTGGTTTGTCGAGGTTCAAAACCAAAGTTGAGGAAAGTAGTGGTGAGGAAGAACTAGATGGTCCCCCTGCTAAGGTGTTATGGTATTTGCCAATTATACCTAGGTTTAAAAGATTATTTGCCATAAAAGAAGATGCAAGAAACTTGACATGGCATGCAAATGGTAGAAAATGTGACAATCTTCTTCGACATCCAACTGATTCTCCACAATGGAAAAGGATTGATGAAACCTTTCCAGAATTTGGTGCAGAGCCAAGAAACTTGAGAATTGGATTAGCTACGGATGGGATGAATCCTTATGGAAATTTAAGTAGTAAACATAGTTCATGGCCGGTTATGTTGATCATTTACAATTTGCCTCCTTGGTTATGCATGAAGAGAAAATATATGATGTTATCTATGATGATTTCAGGACCTCGACAACCAGGAAATGACATAGATGTATATCTTAGTCCTTTAATTGATGATTTGAAGATGTTGTGGGAAACAGGAGTGGATGTATTTGATTCATATCACGAAGTGAATTTCGAGTTGCGTGCAATGTTATTTTGTACTATAAATGATTTTCCAAAGCATATGGTAATTTGAGCGGTTATAGTGTGAAAGGTCATTTAGCGTGTCCTATATGTCAAGAAGACACAAGTTATATCCAATTGAAACATGGACAAAAAACTGCGTACAATAGGCATAGAAAGTTTCTAGTTGCTAACCATCCATATCGTAAAATGAAGAAAGCATTTAATGGATGTCGGGAGAATGCAGTTGCATCGAGTACCACGCAATGGTGAACAAGTATATGAGCAAGTGAAAAATATTAATATTGTGTTTGGAAAGACCCAAAAGAAATCCAATGAGAAAAACATTTGGAAGAAACAATCTGTATTCTTCAATCTTCCTTATTGGTGTAAGTTGGAAGTTAGACACTCGTATAGATGTGATGCATGTTGAAAAAAATGTTTGTGATAGTGTAATTGGGACATTGCTTAACATAAAAGGAAAGACAAAAGATGGAATAAAAGCAAGACAAGATTTGGCGGACATGGGTATACGTTCGAATTACATCCACAATCAATTGGAAAACGCACTTACTTACCTCCAACTTGTCATACTCTATCAAAGAAAGAAAAGAGAAGCTTTTGTGAGTGTTTACGTGAGGTCAAAGTGCCACAAGGATACTCCTCAAATGTTAAGAGTCTTGTGTCTATGCAAGAGTTGAAATTAGTTGGTTTAAAGTCTCATGATTGTCATGTGTTGATGCAACAACTTTTACCGGTGGCTATTCGAAACATCTTACCAACTTCGTTAGAATTGCTATTACTCGGTTATGTTTGTTTTTCAACGCCATTTGTAAAAAGGTAATTGATCCAAAAAAGTTAGATGAATTAGAAAATGAAGCAATTGTAATAGTGTGCCAGTTAGAAATGTATTTTCCCCCTTCATTTTTTGATATCATGGTGCATTTGATAGTCCATTTGGTAAGGGAAATTCGATTATGTGGTCCAATTTTTCTTAGATGGATGTATCCTGTTGAGAGATACATGAAGATCTTAAAAGGATATGTGAAGAATCAGTACAGGCCAGAAGCTTCTATTGTGGAAAGGTACATTGCAGAAGAAGCCATTGAGTTTTGTCAAGGATATATGTCAAAATCAGAACCAATAGGTATTCCTAAGATGAGACATGATGGAAGATGTGAAGGTAAGGGTACTCGAAATTTGAAGATTCCAGTGTTCCATTGTACATTTCCTTGCCCGATGCTTTAGAAATTGCTGGGGGAAATTGCATGTTAAACATTTCCATCATACAATTGTGGGCAATGTAAGTCATTTTCATTTATGTTTCTAAGATTATAATAATTATATTCAACTTATAATTAATTGTTTTAGGTACCTTGACAATTTGAGTGTGGAACAAGAAAAATCCGAAGTATACGGATTTATTGAGCCTCAATCCATCCAAAAATCTGGAAATACA